GCGATTGTATATTTTTAATATGGCGGCAAGTTGCTGGTATTGCTTCATGCCAACATGCCATATAGTCGCCCATACATATAGTCGCCCTTATACGTTCGTCCACATAGTATCCCATATAAGTAGTGATCAACTGTCCCTGACAACTATTACCTGTCCCTAGCTGTGGTCACCTGTCCCTAGCTGTGGTCAGCTGTCCCTATCTGTGATCAGCAGTCCCTAGCTGTGATCAGCTGTCCCTAACCCTGATCAACTGCCCTTTAGCCCTGGTCAGCTCTCTCTACCTCTGATCACCTGTCCCTAGCTGTGAAGGGGGGAGTCGGGTTCTCGGTCTAGAAGGGAAGAGGTGAGGAAGCATGAGGGTAGTGCGAAAGTATCCAAATTAAATCCTGTCTCGCTTCTTTCAAAGCAAATATTTACTGAGCGAGTTTTCTTTGAAGCTCCTCTTTTGCTTCTTGGTAGATCTTCCTTCGAGATTCCTCGGACAAATCTTTGATGATTGTTTTTTTGTTTCTTATGTCCATCTTTAATTTCTCGTACTTTTCCTCTTACTCCAGGTGATAATGCAGCAAATGTCATCAATGCCCATACATGTTCTTTCCACTGTTTATATCCACTCACTCATTATGTTGTTAACTGTTGCCCAATCCACAGATAATTCTTCCAATTACTCTACGAATAAAGGCCGCTTTTTAATGATAGGCCTCGTTAAGTCCCTTAAAACACTATCAAATTTTTCATTTTTTTTTTTATCTAATCTTTTTTCAAAGAGGCTTTCTGATCCATATTTAGGTAATTTAGACAGGGCATCGATAATAACTGATAATGCAGCAAATGTCATCAATGCCCATACATGTTCTTTCCACTGTTTATATCCATCCTTACTCATTATGTCGTTAGCTGTTGCCCAATCCACAGACATTCTTCCAATTATTATTGTAATACAGGGTAAGAATAATTTCTCAAGGAATTCACTGTTTCTGTTTGCCACTTTTCTATCTTGTCTCCTTCTTTTTCCATGATTATTTAGTTCCTCAAGGTATTCTTCAATATATTCCCGTGTAATACTATCAAGTTTGTTGCACATACTTACAATAGAACATCTCTCATCATTACCATCCTCTAATAAGTAGCCATTATCGTCCCACAAACTGTGTAGTTTTTCCTGCTCTTGCAATTCCTGGAAAAGTTCAGCTTGCTGTAGGTGATATTCGTTGTGATCTGACTTACTGGGGTTAGTACCCCCTTGTCTCCTACTGCGTTTCTCTTGGCGATATCTTGGAGATTCCTCTGAATGTGGTAGTCGAAATCTCTTGAATGGTATACATAAGCGAAATCGGTTGGCGATGCTTCTTCGTTTATCTATCTTCTCTGGATTTATTATGTTTGCTCTTATACAAAAACATTTTGTTGCCTGTTCTATGCTTGTGTTTGGCAAGTCTTCTGGCTTTTTAAAGAGTTTTTTCATCTTGCTCGTGAGAAGATCTTTAAATTCAAATGGTTCTAATCCAAGTTTCTCGAGAGCTGGCGCGTACTTAAGCTCCTCGGACATTGTAGATTATGATCATCACGACAGTATTTTTTCCCCTCTTGGCGCTGTTTGTTTGTCGTCACGCGTCAGCTGTGGTCATGTGACCCTGGGTGGAACCAAACTAATTCAGACACAGGCCGCCCAAACAAGGTTCCTGTGTATGGTTTATAAGGGAATGTATGGGAGTTATGATAAAGTTACGAAAATAAAATGTTTCACTCACATTTTTGTCTCAAAACTTGCTGCAGTTTTTGCTTGTACTTTGTTCAGTCTTCTGGCGAAGTTTCAGCGCGATTTGAGGCCGTTTAGTGTTTTTTTTTTTCGAAATCTGCTCTTCTCTTTAAAATGAGGTGTACCCAAAGAGCTCACCTTGTCGGTCGACAACAACGCTCTCGGTCGTTCCGCACGGTTAAGATCGGGAGAATATTTGCATAACAACATCTTCAATGTCATTGTGTTTATGCAAATGTTCCGAACCTGTCCCGAAGTTAGCATTGTGGAATGCCCGAGAGCCTTGTTGTCGACCGATATTGAATTAATTATTTCTAGCGGGGTGAGCTCTTTAGGTACACCTGGCCTCACTTTAAAAAATGTTTTCTCCAAATTTTGGATAGGACGAGCTGTAGAAATTTCACTACCATTTAGATAAAGCTCTGGTCTATTGATGTAGGTGATTTAAAGAAAAAACTTGGAGCGGTTTTGAAGGAAAAGGCGAAAATGTGATTTTTAGCAAAACTCTCATTTTTGAGGTTTACAAGTAAAAAAACATTTATTCAATGAGTTTTTAAGATTTGATGCTGATTTTTCGTAAGGCTCATCCGCAATACTTGGAAATTCATATATATGCTTCAAATTTTGGATCGAATTTTCATGCGGTGTTATAACTTTTTTTCTTCCCAAGACTTTCCATACAAATTTATACACAGACTGCAATAGTACAAGATGATAAGATTCTAAAAATTTCAGAAAAATCGTACCTGGGGATGAGGAGAAAAAAGCCAAAAACCTAAAATAGCACTGTTTGATTTTTGGCCGTAATAAGCTAAACATTTAAAAAATCTTAAAATAATATACACTGTTAAAATCTAGGATAATCCAAGCACATTATTTGAAAAATACAATTAAATTGACGCAATAGTTTTGGAAAGGGAGCGAGAACAAAATTGTCCAACATTCGCTCTGAATTAGTTTGGTTCCACCTTAAAATCAGATATTGAAATAAAACGTATTTTAGTCTAATAATATGAAATACGTTTCCAAGTTGGAATATTAATTACAAAATAGTATAAAATAATTTATTTGTATGAGCCTGCCAAGCAGACCTCAGTTGGCGCCGTTTTTACTCTTCCGTCACAAGAACAAATGCTTAGTTTTATATTTGACCGTCGCGCTTTTTATACTTTTCTAATTCTGTATTTAATTGCAATCAGGCCTACCAATTGATCTCGATTTCTCATCATCACTGGTTACTATATTGATAAGCAAAAATATCGTAAAAATAGTTTATCAGAGACCGAAATTAATGCATTTTGTGGATATCATGGGACTCCGTTTATATTTCATAGATTCACGATCCAAAAATATTAAAACTCGAATAATTTTAAAACTGAATAATGAAAATCTCTGAAACGTTCTAACCTTGAAGACTACCATAGTATGTTTCAGATAGTGAACTCCGTTTCTCCGGGTCTGGTCAGATTACGCCAAAAAATAGATTTAAAAAATAATCACATGACGTCACTGTGCCTTCAGGGCGTTTCCGATGGTCACGAAATACACACGATTTAAAAGTTCCATCTATCCCTACACTTAGTATAAACTCATATTTGGCCAAGGTATATCTGGTGCCGCGCAGTTTGCAATACAAGTAGAGGAGTCGTGCTTCAAAATTATTGTATCGAGCCACCTTAACTCCTCTACGGGCGAGAGAAGGAAAGGAGACTACAGAAATCGTGTAGAATGTTATTTGAGCATGCGCAGCGGTTGCTAAGAAACTAACTCGTTCACAAGCTCACTCGTTTTATAAATGGTTTCCGGTTCCGATCCGAACACGATTGCCGCTTCAAAACAAAACACGTTTTTACAGTCATGACCTCAGTGAAAGATGATCTCTTGTTCTTCTTTTACTGCTTCAATTTCATCAAGCTTAGCAGTTGGAGCACTAAATTTTCACAAGCGGAAATTTGGTCGCTCATCAGGGCCTGGAGTGGAGTTATTACCACCAAAAGAGGATTCTTAGGGTATCGACTAGACTTTGCATGACCTGTCGACAGGGAAACAAACGTGTCTTTGACATCCATAAAACTTCCTAGCGATTTCCTTTGATGAGTAGTTGGTTGGAATTAGTTTTATTTGATAAAACGTGATTTAGATCGCTTTCTATCGGTTTCGAAATTACAGTTTGACACATGCGGGCTCAATTTTGGGCATCGGCTATATTTTTTAATACAGACTCGCGCATCAAAACCAGTTTAAACCAGTATGAAACCTGAAATTATGCATCTCATTATCCAGATTCTTGGATAACGGCACTACTCTCCTTTCCTTCTCTCGCCCGTAGAGGAGATAAAAGGAGACTCTGCTCTCAGGGTAGTCTGGTCAGCGCGCAGACAGCCCAATCTCTTGTTCTGTGGTGTTGAAGTATTTGAATGTTAACGGTTATATTTCGTAGCAATGTAAAATTAGTATTTTTAACAATAAGAACGATTTTCCTTGATAGCTTGATGTATCTTTTGACGCTTTGCTGATTTTGAAGCCAGTTTGGTGCGCGGTTTTTACGGATTTATCGTTTTTTCGTCCTCCTACTAAAGGAAAGCTGCACACTCACGGCAACACCAACTCTAATCGAACCTCAATAAATCCAAGAAAAATAAAGCTATGG